GTGTCAAAGGTAGCAATAATCATGCGAGGTGGAACTTTCCACCCAGAATGCAGTTGATGACACCAACCCTTTCAGCAAGAGGAGGAGGAGGAGGAGGAGGACACCACAGAAAAGAGTCCGCGGGTCAAGTGGGAGCTAAAATTTGCTTTTAACCCATCCCCCCTAGGTAGAGAATAAACAAATTGCTTTGCTGGAGAGTGCACCGTATCTCCACCGATTTCCGCCTGCCGCATTCTGTTGACATTCTCCCTCCAATGTGACAGCCCTTTCAAGTACTCAAGAACTTCGCATTTTTTCCTCGGCTTTGCTTATCAAGCAATGCATTTTGCGGGTTACTCCAGAGTCACGAAACGAGAAGTGCTGTAGATGTAGTCCCTCCAGTTGATTGCACAGGGCAATGTCAATTCTTCAACCGACAAAAAGTGCCCTTGCTCGCCTTCCAAACAGCAACCAGCTTTTTTATCGTAGTCTACAATACCTCATCATTCGTCTTGCCTTTTTCAAGGAGGTAAGTCCACTTTGATGAAACATTGTGGCAAATTCAAAAATAGCACAAAGAAAGACTTTTTACGACATGTGCACAGAGTGGAACAAGGCGGGGAAAAAGGAGGACAGAAGTAGACACCGAATGGATAGCATTTTCAAGTAAACATTATTTGTCACACATATGTGACGCTAGTCTGGATTATGCCAATACTTCAGCTTTTCGCCTCAAGTCCCTCCACTCTACCACCTTCTCCATCTCCCCACTCTGCTAAACTAGTTGCAGTCCTCAGCTTTATTTGTATTAAACCCATAATTCCTCATGATACACACATGAAAAGGCAACAAAACAACCCTCTGGCACTAATTCTGACGAAGTTTGCCTACACCCATGTTCTCAACTCTGTGCAACGATCAGCCGTGCGTGTAAATTTCCCACATCTGGGTGTGAATATTCTCCATTTCCAAACTGTCCTTTCAATTAGTTAACTGGAAGAATCAAATGTCCGACCTCCACACCGGATTCCGAATAACCGCCTCATCACCTTCCACCATTAGGTCGTGAGCATTGCGGGGGAAGTGAAGAAAGTGCATTGAGTAGTAAAAATGAACAAGCTACAGGGCTGCGAATTCCTCCCCGCTACGTCTCCATGACGTGTCAGTAGACTTCCTGCCAAAATGCATGCCGAAATTAAGACAGACGTGGGAATCAACTTTCTGAAAGCAAGCGCCCTCACTAATCTGCAGGTCGGTTTATTAGGACCAAGGCAATCGCCACCTTTCCAATCGCTTAAGAAGTGGGGAATAAATTTTACCCACCAATCGTTTAAGTCGTTTTTGTACTCCTCCCTCTCTCTCTCTCTCTCTCATGGCTGGGGCGTGACCGTCCAGCCCTTCTCCCTTAGTGATGTGACAACTCGTCTCCCCTGCTGACATGACTTATTAAGGTTATAAGGCAAAGCCAGACTGTCACACACCATCGTATTTAGATGGCCCTTCAAATCAATCAGTTGTTGTACTTAATCACGGATTATGGAAGGCATATCAAATGAATTATTTGTGAGTGTTTAAAATGTTTTATATAACAAGATGATTCTAACCAGGAAAGTGATTTTCTCCCTCATGAACCGCCATACAACTACAAATCCAGCACTTTGATTAAT